CAAATTGTTTAAAGCATCTGATTTCGCATAAGCCGGCCTAGTATATAATTAGTCGGTCTTACCCCCTTGAACGATAAAACGGGTTCCCGCATACCCGACTTTCAGGCTGACGGATGGAGATTGCCACAGCACAGCCATGGACTCAGTGTCAGACTTTTGGAAACTTCACTTGCGCTGTTAAGACTTGACAGTCTGTCCAGGCATCAGGCGGTGGCAAAAGCAGAAAGTTGATGCTGGCTTCCGAATGACTAGCTAGCCCAAGTCGGGCTTCAAAATGCCGAGCGATGCACATTGCACGGGTCAGGTTTGCAGTCTCATTGTGAATCCACGTGGCGGCTGCCGTTGATGAGGTATGTCTATGCTGTGGAATATGTCGTGTACTCAGTGACACTGCGACAGTCTCCTGGAATCTGAACCAAAAGCCATTATACCCAGCGGCTCTAAGGTGGAAAAGGATGCCTATTGCCGAGGCGTTCTCGAAGCGCGCATGGCTGACGGCCTTTTGCACAAAGGCTGCATTTTCCCGAACATCCTGGCCTACCGCACCGGTTCCAGTCCACCCTACATCTCTGCGGTTGGATGTGGTGGTGGCTTCCCATGCCAGGACAGCCTTAAGCCTTTAATGTTGCACATTATGTCATGTTGCCCTCTGCTTCGAAGTCGTTGGTCTCACGAGCTGCCAGGGTGTCAGCAAAGCCGGCCATCAGCGCGGATTACAAGATGATCGTACATCTTTGATACGCGAAGTGTTCCGCGTCTTTGACTCTCTCCCGGAGAGGCCGCGGATGCTGCACTTTTTGTTTTGAAGTTGAAATTCTGTTTTCTCCGGAAGGTGTTTTATATTCCTCGAGAATGTGAAGGCCATCCTCAGCGAGCACGAAGACCTCCAGAAGCTCATGCACTTCATGGTCCAGGCTCGGCTCCTGCAATCGTTTTGTGGCTACTCTAAAGCTTTTGACTTCATGATGGCCCGTGATGCTGATCTTACATATTATATATTAATATATATATATATATATTGACTGGTGGTGGTCCTATGCTGCAAATTTGTGGGTGAGTGATGATCTGCTCATGTGCGCCCATCTTCGCACGAGTGTGTGTGCTTGCACTGACTCACTTAGGAGTGCAATTCGAATCTGTGCATATTTTGGATGGAGTTTGCCCGAGGCATATGCTATATTATATATATATAATATATTATATATATTATATATATATATATATATATATATATATTATATATTATATATTATATATACATTCAACTTCCTTCAGGAGTGTCTTGCGCGCGGGATGGTCTTGCATTGGGCCACTGTGCACATGCATAATCTGGGCCTGCCAGCTGGAGTCTCAGATTCCGAGTAGCTGTCCACTGCAAGGCTGTTCTCCTGCTTGCTGTGCTCGTCTGTTCGAGGTCAAACGTGGACGTGTTTTTTTCTGGGCATGCAAATCCGACTGGAAGCCCTTCGAGGCAGTCGGGTTACGGTGGGTTCGGGGTTTAGGCTGAAGAGTTTGGGGTTTACAGTGGGCATAAATTGGGGCTTAAGTTGAGTTTCTCACAAGGTGGTTCAATCGTGCTAGTTATGAAGCATGTCACAGTCTAGGACGGCAGGTTTTGGCAGTGAAACTTTGAACCGACATGTTTGTTTTGTTCAATTTATTTCATAATTCGATGGTGTTTTGTTATCACCATGAACAAGTCAAGACTAAGTCTGAGAGTGAATAATCTGTCAGTCAGTCTCAGAAAATGATAGCATCAGTGTTTGCAAGCCTTTCCTGGGAAGCATGCTACTCTGGGATTGATTGCAGTCTGATCCAGGCGGTCATCGTTGACGTGTCAGCTCGTTATTCCATTGCTTTGCGTGTGCGCGATACAGGTCAGGAGGCTCGTGGTTATCATTCAATTTTCAGAAGTCAGCCATAAATAATAATAGTAACACATAATCACTTATTAATTAAGACTATTGTCAGGAATATTCCTTGAAGTTGCAAATGTCATGGTCTGAGAATGGTAACAATAACACGAATCTGACTTATTGTATGGAATATTCAAACTCGTGTTGCAATGTCAGAGTCTGGAACTTGGTGAAACATCATGATACTGGATTGAAATCTGCTCATTCAAACCAGGGTCGGATTCGGAGACGCAGTTCGTGCAGGAATCAGTCTTATTAATAAATTTGTCTAGGTTCCTAGCCGAGGGATGCGGCGGACGGGGTCCTCGTTTAAAGTACGACTACTAAATGCTCGAGGCCTGAGGTTCCCAGGTGTTGTCATTCAATGAGAGAACGACGAATGACGACAACAGCAAATGAAGGCCCGTACTGCTCTTCATGTCCGATGGCAGTGGTGTTGTTTGGCTTGCCGCAATCTGAATAATGAGTTTAAGGACGACGGAGTGTTGATTGAAATTGCTGGAGTCTGATTCAACTACAAGACAGCAGCAGGCCAGAATATCCAGCGGCCAATCCACACGTCATGCATGGATTGAGATGACAACTTGCTCGCTTCTACTGTTTTGTGTTATGAACATGATAAGTTGCACTTACAGTTTTCATGATAATTTTATTAAAAACACATTATTCATGGCAACATGACTGGCTTTCAGGTTGGGGATTTATTAGGTTCCGACTGGGATATAAAAAAAAGCGCAAAATCAATGACACGTCCTTGCTTGGCTTGCATGGTCATCAGCTAGTTCGTACAAAGGACTTTACCAGTCCGTTTCTCCTTTTTTATTTAACAGTTACTGCATTTGATGGCCTTTGTGCTCGATTCTGCAATGTGCGTAGTAACAGCACCCGCCGTGCACCATGAACGAAACGTTCTAGTCACGTTTCCTGCGTGGAGTCCAGAGCTTGCAAGGTACTCTGCAATTCACATTGAATAAAGCTCGTCGTTATCATCGGTTGCCACTTCCGAATGGGCCAGACAGACAGACGGGCAGACAGACACAACCATTGCCATGTGAAATAGGGTCTTCCGTTGGACATGGCGGATGTTCTGTGAACATGACATGACATCACTCAGTCAAGTTGAGGGCTTGATTTCCGTGATGATTTCTTCTCCCTGCGCAATTGTTACTGTTAGTTGTTGTTAAGTGTGCAGTCCACATCCGAAGCACGTGGTTTCGTCGGTCTCCCACAACTCCCTGAAACCAGGCCTTGGAGCTGCGACCTTTGGGAAGCTTCTTGAAGACGGTCTTCAATGAGCTCAATCAGGTCCCGCTCTGTGACTGGCTGTCTGAGGACTTGGAGGAACACCAGGCAGAAAGACTCAGGAGCCTGGGCAACATAGCGATTCCTCAGGCTGCAGAGCTAGCTGGGGAGCTTTTGCACCGCATGTCGCACTCAGACTTGAAGTTGGAGGACAAATGAATGTCTGGTAGCGGTAAGAAGCCATGTCAAGTTCAGTTTGAAATTGTTGGCATGCACAGGCCTTCGAGCGTTCATGATGATGATGATGGTCTCCTTGTGATATAAAGTTCGTAAAGAAAGTTGTCTTTCAGCACAGAGTGTTTTTGCCTTGCCGTTGGCCTGCTGCCCCGGAACTTCCTTTGCCACGCAGGGACCCGTGCAGCTTCAGCTGGTCGCATGAGGAGTGCAAGAAACCGCTCGTCGTCTGTCTTGGCAGTGGTTGTTGCTGTCAGTCGCAAATGATTATGTAGTAACTACCGAGACGGCATGCGACAGACACACACGACGTGCTGCATGTTGCATCCAAAGCAAGCTTTTCTAAAACTTGACAGACTGGCTTTAGCCCCCAGCGTGAGATGACTGTCAACGGTCGAGCCCTAACCCTTAACATCCCTTGACCCTTAACCCTACTAAACATGCGTGGGTTGAAGAGGTGTCAGGTTCAAGAGTTTCATGGTATCGGTCATTGACTCATTCATTGAATCATTTAGCTAACCTTAAACTTTAAATTGAGCAAGCTTCTCTGTCTAGTGAACCTTAACCCTGAACCCTGGGTTGAAGAGTTTCACGGTTAATGCGAAGAGGTCGTCAACATAGTGTTCGTGATGGCCCTGTGCTGATCCGATGAAAAGGCCCGCAGCGGCCCAGAATGGGAAAGGCAATCCCCGTTCAAAGGCTGCCCCCAAGAAGAAAAGTAGATCTGGAAAGTCCAATTGGCACACGTGGAGCCAGAAGAAGAAGCGGGATACTGAGGAGACGAACCAGAACAAGAAGAAGCAGGAGGCGGTTGAGACGTCGGCTCAAAGTCAACGGCCTATGTTTCGTGAAGTTGCTTGTCAAACTGATGAATCCGACCTAGCCAGAGCTGCGTTTGCTGAAACCGGAGAGCGTCGACAAGGCAGAGATGAAAACCGAGAGCCAGGCCAAGCAACAACTGCACCCGCAATAAAAGCAGCTCCTCCTCGTGGGCCGCCTGGGCGTCCGGCACCGAGTACACCGAAGCATCGCATCAGGAGATCTACGAGTCCGCCCTATCAGCCTGCATTGCACGTGCCGAGAAGATACTCTCAAGAATCGGGCCCGCACTGGACTGAACCACAACGTTTTCTTCGATCCCTAATCTTTGGCAGGTGGCAAAAGGCAGTGTGAGCATTTGATGCTGGTTTTGCAGCACTTGTCATGTTTGTGGGCCACTGTGTATGCGCACCCCTGCGCGCGCCCTGCGCGCGCCCCTGCGCGCGCCCCTGCGCGCACTGGTTTTCATGCCTGGTCACAGCGTACGCACGCCCCTGCGCGCGCCCTGCGCGCGCCCCTGCGCGCGCCCCTGCGCGCGCCTTGAACGCGCCCCTGCGCATGTCTTGGAGTAACTGTCTGGATGCTCTGACATGCAGTACAACCACTGAGGCATGTGGCTTGAGAACAGGTCCTCTAGTCGTCACTGACTGCTGAATAGTTATCAAATAAATCACCAGCAGCGCCCTCATCATCATCAGCTTAGCTTGACATGAAGATTCTGTGCAATGATGTTTTTTCGGCGGGTCACCTTTGAACCATGCCGACATTGCGGCGGGTCACCTTTGAACCATGCCACGTGTGGCATGTCTGGATACACTCAGCGAGTCTGAGGATGAGATTCGGCCGCCTGTCCCCAAGAGGCAGCGAAGAGGACCCAGCACTCAGCCAGCATCTGCCAGCGGAGATCGTCTTCTGCACCCTATCCTCAAGAGGCAGAGAACTGTTGAATCTGAAACCGGCAGCGAGTGGGCATCTGGCAGCGGAGATCGTGTTCTGCAGCCCATCCTGAAGAGGCAGAGAACTGTTGAATCTGAAGTCGGCAGCGAGCCGGCATCTGGCAGCGGAGATCGTGTTCTGCAGCCTATCCTCAACAGGCAGAGAACTGTTGAATCTCAAGCCGGCAGCGAGCCGGCATCTGGCAGCGGAGATCGTGTTCTGCAGCCGGCCCTGAAACGACAGAAAACCGGCACTCAGGCAGCATCTGGCAGCACAGACCGTGCTCTGACGGAGTTGACGTCAAGCGATGCAGAGACCGTCCAGCCGGCGCCAAAGGCAAGGTCCCAGAAGAAAGCCAAGCGGCGGCCAACGCTGCAGGAACGGCGTGACAACATGGCTTCCGTCCAACGATTGGAGCGGATGCTTCGCCAGCCCTGCCGCAAGCGACAGCATTGTGGCCTCAGGTGTTTCGCCACTTTTCAGGAGCGCGAGGACTTTGAGCGCCTGGTGAAGTTTCGTTCCGACTGGGCTTCCATGCATAAGTTGGACCAAGATGAGGCCGTTCTGCGGCCGCATTTAATGTTTATAATGACTTGAATCCGACGCGGTAATTCTCGCGTACTTCTTGCTTTGACTGAATGATTATTGATTGTCTCAGGTTTTCGAGTCCCTCCGCAGCATCTACAAGAAGACTGAGCATGGTAATCATGATGGTGATGATGGCCGCGAGCTGGGGCCCGTGAAGTTCTTTTTCCTGGACAGGCGTGTTTGCAAAAGAGCTTGGACGAGGCTCTACGGACTGGGTGCCTTAGACAACTATATTTTTCGTACTGTCCGAGGTCTGTGTTAAACTACACTGTAGGTTTTGATGCTTGAGGCTTCATGCTGCATTTCTCATCTCCACCCCCAACCCTTGTAACAGTTTCCGGAATTAATAATCCAAGGTGGGGCTCGCTTCAAGAGGCTGCACGATGCAGTAATGGCTGGGAAGAACAACGCCCCTGTCGACAAGCGATACATCAGCAAGCCGTTTTCATTGAAGAATGAAACTAGGGAAATTCGAGCTGATGTTACAAGCTTCCTGCAGAAGCTCTACGAGTCCGTCGCGGAGACCATGCCGGACGTCCGGGACTCGACACAAGATGAGGATGATCTGCCTTTGCTGTTGAGGGGCCATACCGAGTACGACCTTGCCGAGGACCCTTACACTACAGAGCTGAACAGGCAAACACAGCCTCAGCTGTCTGCTGCTGGTGCTGGCTTGGAAAAGGCCGGGAACAAGCGCTTTGGCCAGGGTAAGGTCAAGAAAACCGTGACGGCTTTGGCGGAGAGGAGTGCGGAAGGCGAAGAGCGCTTTTTGCCTCCTGGTAAGATGATCCATTACTGGGGGCAGTACAAGCTGCAAGCTGGGGTGCAGCCGCCGGCGTCTTTTGTGACGTTCTGGAGGGTGCCTCGGTTTCCATTCCAAGTAAGGTTGTCTCTAAATTTGTTGACGCGTGGACTCCTGGTTGAAGTCTGGTGCGCAGTAAACATTTTGTGCAAGACGTGAAGATAAGTTGAACGTGGACTTACATCACGGGATTCACCTGAATCTGAATCTGAATCTGAATTTAATTTGCTGAAGGGCTTAGAAGCTCATGCCAGGTGTGGCTGTCGCTCTTTCCTTTCATGAAGTTTCGTGCCTCCACTTCACACGCTGTATGCTCTGAATGCTTGCTACATCAAAGCCTTATTCAGTCATACAGCAGGCGCATCGCCGCAAGATGCGCGCAACAACATCTCTTGGAAGCGCATTTGCGGTCCCAATATTTGGACCGGGTCCAATATTGGCAAAGCCGGGCGAGCTCGCGGCTGAATACAGAGGAGCTCGTCGTGATACAGGACGGGATGGATCAATCCAAATTTGCATGCCCGCGTCATCCTTTCTTGGCGGCCAAGTGCTTCGAGACTCTGACATCAGCCAGGCCTCGTTTGCATATAGTAGGCGTGCTGGCCCATGGCCATCTCATGGCCCTAGCACTCACGGAGCCCACGGTTCCAAAAGACAGCAGTACTCAGCTCGAACTGCTGTCACACGTGCTAACCCGCGTGCAAGCAAGCGGCTGCAAGCTCCAGAACATGCGGCTCACCGTGCAATGCGATAATTGTTGTCGCGAATTCAAGAATAATCAGACCCTGAGATGGATGGCATCCTTGGTAAGCAGACGGATCCTACGGGCCGCGAGGCTTTGCAATTTGCGAAGCACCCACAGCCATGAGGACATTGACCAAGCTTTTGGAAGTTGCGCAGCGTTTCTTGTCAAGAAAGCCGCCAAAGCAGAAAGCTCGGACAGCTTCCAGCAGCACCTCACAAACTTCCTTGAGGAGCTCCCGCGCCCGCACGAGAAAGAGCGGGCAGTGGTGCACATCAGCCGAGTCCGTGACTGGCTTCTGGGCTGCATGTGGTGTCGTATACGTTGAGTTGATGCTTTGTTTGGATCTTAAACGAGAGCTGACCAGGCTTGTCCTGTCCAGTTATTGGTCATCATAAATTGAAGGGTGTGACTTGTTGAAAACTCTTCAGCTCGCGTCTGAGGAAGTCTTTCATGGCCGCTGCAGTGCCGGTTTCCTTGAAAGGAATAGGGGGCCCCGGTGCTCCCCACGAGTTTCTCCTCGAGCGTCGCGTGAACACAGGAGCTGAGCAGTCTCCTAACTTCAAGACTTTGACGTCCGACCCAACCTGCCAGTCTGTCAGTCAGTGTCAGACAAACCTCACACACAGACAGTCTTGACCATTCATACATCGAATCGGTAGCAGCAGGCAACGCCGCAGTGCAGTAGTTCCGTGTTCCAATGTTTCCTCTCCTTCAGTCCTCACAGTGACAGAAGGACTGGCCGATGATCAGATCCAGGATCGGTTTTGGTCCCAGCCGAAGCATCCGGATGACATCATTCTTCAGTGCCGTGACATGTATTTATTGTTTTGTTGTAACAGTAACTGCTGCTTGGAAAAACATCCCCAAAACCGAGCAAGGTCGCAGTCCCTCGCTCCCTGCCCAGGACAAAGCAATGGATGCACTCCCCCAACTACACTTTCTGTGTGCGGTACTATCCACGCGTGGTGGCACTGCAACGCTGTCCGGCTGAAGCTGTACCGGAAGGCTGCACAGTGCTTCTTTATGGGGGATGTGTGTCCAGGTTGCAAAATTCAGAAGCGTTCAGTGGTTGCGGTTTTGAAGACTTCTTCTTCTTGATCATATTCGATGCGCACATGCCTTTGTTGGTACTGCCTGCTTGCCCAGTATCTGAGCGACCGACCCATAAAGAAAATGCCACCGTCAGGCTTCTGTGCGCGAGTTAGTTTGCGAATGGACGAACGGTTCCAAAGACTGCTCTGTTTTCCATGTGAGTCGGTGTCATCTGTTTGTCGCGCAGGCTTGGCACCGCTGAAGGCCATCCCCGCGGATTCCAGAGAGAAGATTGAGAAGTCCCTGCCACTGTTACCCAAGTTTGGGTTGCATACAGCAGCTGCTTACCTGCGCAGCTACATTGACAGTACACAGAATGAGGCCGGACTGAGTCAGTCACAAACACCATGCGATTGTTGTGGTTCGTGAACATGTCTTTAGCTGAGAACTTGTATCCCCGAGGACCCGCTCCTGGATGTGAGTGCGTGCTTGGCCAGCATTGTTTCTGACACGCAAGCTCTTGCGATCAGTCACACTCCCAAATTCAAAGAAAACTTTTCACGTGTGGCAGCCGCGGGCCAAGGTGTCGCGGCCGTCAGTCTCTGACAGAGCCTGTCGGGCCGCCAGCTACTTTCCTGGAACCGTTTGCCAACAAACTCTCGAATCTTTACTGCATGTAACGGACCCGGTTTCTGTTGCTTGGGGTCGCATGCCATGTCCAGGTTGTGTTTAAATGCGTTGTCCTGCGTCAGGTTGCGCAAGCCGGACTCGGATGAGAAAAAGCAGGTGAAGCACTACACTGCCCGAACAGCCGAAAGGACTGTGTACCGTGCCGCTGCAAGTGCATGGGCACGAAGTGTTCCGTGGGACGAAGCCGAGTCCCTGGCTAGGGACGCAGTCGATCGTGTCCGGATGGGTGCACGCCGTGGCAAAGGCTCAGGAAAAGCCCAGAGGTCTGAAAGGCCTGCCGCGCGCACAGGCCGTGGTAAAGGTGTTGCTAAAGGCTAGCCTAGGAGCACGAAACGCGGCTGGCACAAGTCTCTGTCTTTTAGGAAGGACTTTTAATTAGTAATTTAGGCTCCGTCATCACGCGAAATCTGCCCAAAACCTGAAAATCAAGTATTAGGTTTAGATTTGTCTGTCTCTATTTTCTGATGACTGCCCCTAAATAAGGACTGTTCTCTAAGAACTCAAAGTCCCGAAATCTAGAATAAGCCGTTCCGCGCAAAAACTTCGGTGACAAAACGAACCTTAGCTGGCCTTATGCTTCCTGAAACGGCAATTTCCGCCAGATGTCCGTGAATCATGTTTTTGCAGTTTTCAGTATTATGAGGACTGTTGCCTGTTCAGAAGTCCCTTGAATTTGAAGTTGAAGCCCTTCCGATCACAAAGTTGCCTGCGAAACCTAGTTACGTTTTCCAGGAGCCAAAATCAAAAAAAATTGGGGTGCGGCATGGACATTAAGGGAGCAATGGGTGGGTTTGACAAAATCATGCAGCGGCGGGCTGTCAATTAGGCCACTCAGATCAGACACTGGCTGGCACCGCAGCCTGGAGGGCAGTCGGTGTCAAATCCCAGCTGGCTTTGGACACTGAGAGCACTATTTTCATCAAGCCGACTTCATTCAAAAAAACTTAAGGATATCTTCAAACTCAGAAAAGTATGCACCGGTGTCCGATCCCAGGTCGGATCGGACACCCCTGGCCTGCTTGGGAACAGTGCCTCCGAGTGTCGGATCCCAGGTTGGATTCGACACTCCCAGGCCCGTTCCTGATGAACTCTCGGGAGTGTCGGATCCTGGTGGTGCTCGGAGTGTCGGATTTTGGCCGCGGCCGGAGTGTCGGATTTCGGCCGTGGGCGGAGTGTCGGATTTCGGCCGTGGGCGGAGTGTCGGATCTCAGGTCGGATCGGACACTCGCGGGCCGACCCTGTGCAGTGTAGCAGGAGTGTCGGTTTCCGACTGGCTACTTTCGCGGTCCGGGCCCGCATGAGACCCGATAATCCGGCCTGACTCAGGCCCGCGAGTGTCCGATCCCACATGAGATCCGACACTCCGCCCACGGCCGAAATCCGACACTCCGCCCACGGCCGAAATCCGACACTCCGGCCGCGGCCAAAATCCGACACTCCGATCCGACCTGAGATCCGACACTCCGGCCGCGGCCAAAATCCGACACTCCGCCCACGGCCGAAATCCGACACTCCGGCCGCGGCCAAAATCCGACACTCCGGCCACGGCCGAAATCTGACACTCCGGCCGCGGCCAAAATCCGACACTCCGGCCACGGCCGAAATCCGACACTCCGGCCGCGGCCAAAATCCGACACTCCGGCCACGGCCGAAATCCGACACTCCGGCCGCGGCCGTATGAAGTGTGGGTTAGAAAGCGTTCTGGGT